ACCACACACCTAAAGCCCACACTAGCACTACTGGTCACTGCCATTTTTCTACACCTTGAAGGAAAAAAGAAGAAAACAACAATGGTGTTTATTGTTGGTTCTGATTATGCCCTAGATGGAGCGAGGTTCAATGGAGGTTTGCTATGGCGGTTTTGGACAAAACAATAAATGGTTTTCCGGCGAAAACCCATCAAATAGAGAGAGAGTACTAGCTAGCTACTGTGTTTTTTTGTGTGTGTGTGTGTGTGAGAGAGAGAGAGAGAGAGGCAGAGGGAGAGAGAGGGAGAGGCAGAGGGTTTTGTAAGGTGTAAAAGACAAAGGTATCACGAGGCCAAGAAAGGGGAAAATAAAGCAGAGAGAAAACAGCAGCAGTCACATATGCTTTGCTATGCTATGCTATGCATTGCTGGCAGGCAGCAGTGTAAACGTTTTATTACTAATTTATTGTCCTTGTTAATTTAATTACAAATAAAAATAACGTTTATTTATTTATTTTGTCTAGACTCTGGCGGTAGGCGCGTTGGTTTAGCGGCAGTGACGGGTGGCAACTTGACGACTCTGCCCCCTTCGCCTTTGGCCTATGTGAAGAAAAAAAAATTACGGTGGAAGACGGTTAAAAATTCGTATATTAAACCGTCACACTTTTAATTTATTACACATATTAAATTAATATGTTTTTCTTAAAAAAAAACATCAATTTTTTGGTTATGAGGGTTTTTTTTTATATATAATAAATATTAGGAGACGAGACTCAACCATAATACCTTACCTTGAGTGTATGAGTAACTATCTTAACAATTTAAACGACAAATTCTTTGCCGTATTTAAAATATTCGTGAAAAATTCTTGCTAGTTAAAGATTTGAACCGATAAAAAAAAACCTACAAAATTAATGAAACCTTTCTTGTTTTTCTTTTTGTGTGAATGGCTTATGAAACACTGAATAATAGAAAGGCTAATGATAAAACACTCCCTAAATGTATTAATGAAACCTTTCTTGTTTTTCTTTTTGTGTGAATGGCTTATGAAACACTGAATAATAGAAAGGCTAATGATAAAACACTCCCTAAATGTTTTGAGTCATTCTCAATAGGGGCTCGTAATTTCAATTTCAGCAATATTCTCAAACATGAACGGTATAATTACCAATTAACTGTTAACGTAGATGTTGTGAGACTCACCTACTGACTAACTAACCAATTCCCTTTTATAATAAAAAATTTAAAGATGTAAAATCAAATATCATAGTACATTTTTCTTGACCAAAGTTATCATAAATTGATCCAGTCTATAATAGTAAACATTAGATTTTGTTTGTTGATATAGGAATAACTTAAAATTTATGAATTTGAGTTTTTAAGTAAATTTGATCGGTTAAAGCGCAATGACCAAGTATATCAAATTTATGCATTGAGCTTAATATGTAGATTTCTATATATAATATACCCCTTTAGGATCTTTAATCATTTCGTATTGTATTGTATGTTGTAATTCTTCCTTTGTTAGGGGTATTTGGCATTTCACGTATGTTTGGTATGGCAATCGAGTGTCATGCTTAAATTAACAAAAAAAAATCTTATTGTTTCATGTTTTGATGAAGTAAATAATTCATCTCAACTGCCAATGCTCACCAACTCAAGTAAGCAAAAATTAATTGCCTTTCTGTATTGTATCATAATAAGGTAAGGTAATTATTTGAAGGGGAACAAAACTTTAATTAGATACCTAATCAATCAGGAGTAATGTGCCTTAAAAATTACAGATGAAAGGGGTAGGTAATGTTGACACCTTTTGGGTGTCTTGGTGGATAAATAAATCTGGCATTGGACCCTGCCGGTACAAGAGAAAGCAGCCTGAGAAGGAATTCGAGGGAAAAGGACATGTTGTGTTACGAAAAAGAAGAAAAAAGTTGGTTATTTCAATTCCTTTTTGTAAAGCCAACTAGTATTAAACTGAAACACCACTCCACATTTTACTCCTACAGTGTAAATCAAACACATCATGACAACGAAAGCTGCCACGTAACCCAATTTGGCCAAACTAATAAGCACTGATAAAAACAAAATCTTCCAAGAAGTAATGTGAAAGTCGGGCTTTCTGCAGCTGCTTTTTGAGCAAGTGATTGTGCATAAGACACATTTCCAACTTCCATATACACAGAGATGGGTCCTCTCCCCCCTCTCTCTCTCTCTCTCTCTCTCTGCGAAAACTCATTCTAGCAAAACAGATATTAATTACTATTAATTATGCCATAAATATGATTAAACCGATATTAATCACTCTGCCAAATATCGTCACTATTTACAAACTGTTTCTCTGTGTTCTTTTCCCCTGAAAATATATCTGTCATTGACCTGGAAATAGGGTTGGGTTGGGAATTTTTCTTTTTCTTTTTCAAGCTCGTTTGAATATGTCATTCGGAAAGAAGAATAAAAACCAGCGCATGGATAGATATAGGGCCACCAGAAAGCATAATATATACATATATGATTCATGAAGAGAAAAGACCAAGTCCAGCAAATCATAAGCATTAAGCCATATGGCACAAATGATGATACAGTTTGCCACATTTTTATTTTACATTACTTTATGTTTTTTTTTATTGCTGCATATGAAGAAAATAAAATGAAAGGATTTTTGGGGAGGCCTTGAAAGATAAGTTTTATGCAGAAACAAAAAATGATATCTCCTTTTGGCCCCCCCCACAACCATCACAATACAAAAATACTAATAAATCAAGTGGTTATCAGAAGACACGTTGGATGACGAATGTGTATGACCAACCAATGGGCAATGGCATGTGACCAAAATGTGTCACTTTAATTTGGTACTAGAGAGAAAGCCACTGCCTCTTTTTTATCTTCTTAGTATGTCCCAATTCTTTTAGATTTAGACCCTTTTTTGGACTGCACTGAATTATTGATACATCAAATACCCTGAATTATATTAGATCAGATTGAAATATCCAAAAATCTTGTCATGTTTTTTTATCGCAAAATATAGGATATATTGTGTACAATAATGCCTAAGTGTTCGTGCTTTTTTTATTATAAGCGATAGTCTAAACTATAAGTGAAGAGAGTTTCTTACATGCACACAATTAATGTACCATGAATGTTTGAATCTAAGATCACTGATTTGCGAGTCAAAATCCTTTCCCACTATGCTATATCTCATTGACAAAATAAATAAATATTTGATGTCATGTTTCATGGAGTTATTTTGGAGGTGAAACAAAACCTGTCCAGTTTTAATTAATGCCTCAAATTCTGTGAAATAAATCATGGCATCCAAACTATGGTAATTATATGTAAATTCAACAGGTGGTCCATGAACCATGGACCATGGACTAGGCTTGGATATATGTGTGTCTCAAATGAGAGCCAAGAACCACGTACTGATCAATACTATGGATGTGTGTGTATCCTATTGCCAAGGCGCTGCCCTCAATCAATATTCCTGCATTATGCGTATCCAACCACCAACTTTCCCAGATTTTGATTTTCCTTAAGTCAGAAAAAAAAGGGGTGTGTCCATTTTCTGGGAAGCCAAACACAAAATACTTCAATTTTGGGTTGGACCATTTGATAAGACCCATGTTGATGATCACTGCACAGAAATTACTTAAATTTATGCTCATCAATATTTAGGACCATATAATATAATGCTTGAGTTGAGAGCTGCAGACAGAGGAGAGGACGGAGCAAAAGCAGAAAAATAAAGTCATTGGAAAGATAGCTGCTGCGGCTGGTGCAGGCTAGTAGATTAATCAGATGCCATGCCACAGTGCCACTGCTTCAACAGATAAGGCCATGACAAGAAGAAGATTTTAATGCAGTGAGAGAACAAGAAGGAGACAGCTAGCAGCATATCAATGAAGACAAATTTTTGTCTGCGACATCGAAATCACTCAGAACAGCTAAAGATTTAAAATCAGTAGAAAGAGAAAAAGACCCTTAATTTTTTACAGAAGAGCATCAAGAGTGACCAGACCAATGAATATGGGTCAACTCAGAAATGTCAGAGGCCCAGCCACTAAAAAAGAGTCGTTCTATGGTAACTGGAACATGGGCCGCTTTAGGCCCACATTGCAATTTGCAAGAACTATTTTCATTTTTTTATTTTTCAAATTTAAATAAATATAATTTCTTTACTAGGTATTGCTTGCTGTTAATTAGTTAGGAGTGAGTGTGACTGTAATTGTTTATGTTTTAGAAAATTGCAGTTGACTTGCACTTAAATTTAGTTTGCAAAAGCCAACGGGGTCTCTAAGCTAGTGAAAAAAGGGTTCAATTCGCATACTAGTGGTGGTATCAGATTCAAGCTCAAATTCTATGGCACTTTGGTAGTGTTGGTGTAAGAAAACCCCCCTTCCTTTGTAGTTAAACTATCGTTTATTAAAAAAAAAATTAGTTTCCAAAATTGTTATTCTAATTTCCCAAACATTGTAATTATATTTTATTTTAAGAGTGTGTTTATAACTTTATAGTCAGTTAAAATGGTGTTTAATCTTATCAGCAAATTATCACTTCTGTAGATGAATTAATCATAAAATACAAATATTTTGGGTTCGAATTTACCAAAAGGGTAGGTATTATTATTTATACTTTGATACAAAATTCGGGTCAAATGTGGTATTTTATAAGTTTTAAAAGTGAGAACACTGAAAGTCAAAAGCTTTAATACAGCTCATGTTGCTGCGAGCTCTTCTCTGACACTTGGACTCGAAGCCTGCATAAACTGTGATTTTCAATCAACGACAATCCAATTGGTTTTCGTTGTATAGCTAAGAGATTTGGATGAGTATAGATATGTGTGGCTCATCGGTTTCCACGACTGCCCACAACACGAAGCCAAGCCAAGCATTTTGGAGGCAAGCTTTCTGTGAAAACCCCACCAACACATCCAAAACCCCCATGCTTACCACCTTTTGAAATTTTAGCTTAAACCCAGTGCTCCTTTGATCTCCTCCCTCTTGATCGAATCACAAGTTCAATTCAATGTCGTCCATGTCTAGATTTTCTGTAAAGGATTTCAAGTTAAGAACATGTGACGCTTTCTGCAGGCCAAGCTCTTCTCTATCTGCAAGGAGGCTGCAAACTCATCTGGGTACGTGTGATTCAATTCATGCTTGGTTTCAATGCTTATTCTTTCTGGCTAGTGATTTTGTCGGCTTCTGGCAATTGGGTTCTGTTTCTTTTGTTGTTTTATTTATAAAATTCTGTGCTTTGGGACTTCAAATTTACTCAATTTCGTGTTCCCATTTTGTGGGGACTGTGACATTTCTTCTCTTTCCCTCTGTTTCGAACTTTTGTTTCCTGACATTGATTGTTGTATAGATCTTAGAGGTTTACTGTCTGTGCCTGAGAATGGAAGAAGTTGTGCAATCCAAAGCAAGCCATGGAGTCCCATCGTTGTGCAATCCAAATCAAGGTGTTTTTTTCCTTCCGAACATCGTGTTTGGCTTTCAAGTTCTTCTTTACTCTGTTTGATACGTCTTTGATGAAAGAAAAGTTAATATATCAATGTGATCATGCACAAGCATTACTGGTTAATGCTGGACGGAACAATAGTGGAATAGGCAATGGGAAATTTTTAGTCTTGGAGGAGAATGTGGAAAAGCATATATTGATTTGCTTTATTTACACCAATAGGAGAAGAGATAGCCCTCACTTGGTTAGGGAACTGGTCTCAAGCTTTACACCAGCAGATAACCATTTACCAGTAATGTTCTAAACCATATACTGTCCGGTCTGTGTCCTCATTTTAGCCAACTATTTATAGAGATGGTTGCCCTTTTCAAGCATTATTACCTTTACTTAATAATCTGCACTTCCTGGTTAATGAACAACCAATTCCACATTCTCTATATATTATGACCAGCTTGTTGGCGGCTATATGTAGGAACTCTGAAGTTTTGTGCAAGGCTGCAACAAATTTATCTGGAGATCTTCCCGGTAGCACTTCTAGTGGGATGAGCCTGTACGAGAGAATAATTGAAACTTTGACAACTCTATTTCCTGTGTGGGTAGGTATTACATTTCAACTCTATAAAAAATTTGAAACTGTTATCCAGTTTCTCATTTTCAGTACTTCTTAATTGCTTACTTCTGTGTCTATTTTAAACAAAGCTTTTCTCAAGGAACACTTTCACATTCTAAATCTAATTCCATGGACAGGTCATATTGGGCACCATCCTGGGGATCTACAAGCCATCTGTTGTAATATTTCTTTGTCTGCTACTTCAATATGTGGCATATCAACTAGTGTATAACTAGCTTATTGTTGGGGTTCCTGCAGGTAACTTGGTTGGAGACAGACCTTTTCACACTTGGACTGGGTTTCCTCATGCTTTCTATGGGTTTGACATTGACCTTCGAGGATTTTAGACGATGTTTACGTAATCCTTGGACTGTGAGTAACATCCACTCAAATTTAAGTCGTTGGACACTTTCGAAAACAGAATGATCTATTATTAAATGGTATTGAAATTTTTTTATTGCAGGTGGGTGTAGGATTTCTTGCACAGTACATGATAAAACCTCTGCTAGGCTTTGTCATTGCCCTGGTATTTCTTCTTCAAAATTTTTGTGGGCTGTCCTGTAATTTACTATTGAAATATATTAATTTCTTATAGAATTTGTCCTTTACCATTGAATTTCATGATAACAGGATTAGAAAAGCAGGTTTTACACATACATAAAATATTTGCTCAATTCAGACTTTAACAAAAAAGCTCATGTTTACCACCCATCCATATTCGAAGATCCTCTCTTGTATTACCAAAAAAAGGGCAGGTTGACTGGATAAGTTTATGGATAACCACATGCCTTTTAATAGTGTTTGGATGCAATGGTAGTATTGACTAAACATATATGTTATCTAAGATTTCCTCTCTGATTTTCAGACGCTAAAACTTTCTGCACCTATTGCGACTGGTCTTATCTTGGTCTCATGCTGTCCGGGTGGTCAGGCGTCAAATGTTGCAACTTATATATCTAAAGGAAATGTTGCACTTTCTGTTCTCATGACAACGTAAGTCACATGCACTCAAATGCAAATTAAAATCAGAGAACTATATCCAGCTGTTTAGAACATAAGGTTAATTCAAGGCAGTTAAGATTTTCTGTCCCAAATATATGCTACCTTGGAAATGCAATTGCATACTATCTATAATGGTAATGACTACTACCGAAGTTTATATTATAAAACAAAAACAAGAGTCTTTACTACATCTTAATGTGATTATTTTGCGGAATTTTGTAGGTGTTCAACAATAGGGGCTATTATTATGACACCGCTTCTTACCAAGCTTCTTGCTGGCCAGCTTGTTCCAGTTGATGCTGCGGTAAGTTCAAACATGATTGACTGATGTAGGACAACATGAACAGATAGGAAAAAAATAAAGAGATCTGGACTCACTTCGACTTTGGCATCGCACCAAAAGTGTCCAATAGAGAAATTAGAAAAAATTCGGCATCACACCGAAGGTGCCTTGGAATCACTCCAAGTCAACTCACGCCTCACACACAAGTTTGAGTTGAAAATAACTGTTTTTTTTTTCACTAACTCTGATTTTAAAAGCTTACAAAGTAGCCCCTTTTATAGGATAATTGGTACATGAATCTTGAAAGATCCACATTAATACACTTAGGAATCCAAAAGACATAATTATGGCACCTAATACATTAATCATGTGACATTGATATCTTGTATTACCACTTATGACAGTGATATTTTCCCCCACCATCTTTGCAGGGCCTAGCAATCAGCACTTTCCAGGTTGTTTTAATGCCAACAATTGTTGGAGGTAACTAGAATATTTTATAGTAACCATCAGAATCTGAAAATCAATTATCGCAAACCACAGCTTATTTCCAATATCTGGACTTACATTCATAATCAAAACTCTGCTCCCTGATTTATGTGACAGTACTGGCAAATGAGTTCTTCCCCAAAGTCACTTCAAAAATAGCCTCAGTGACCCCTTTAATTGGAGTAATTCTCACCACTCTACTCTGTGCTAGCCCGGTAAGTCACAAAATATTAACTGAGTTGACTATTCCATATCGATAGCTTTTGTGATTTCATGAAGTTACATTGCATCTAATGTGGTAACTTGAATTCTTACATTTTTTAAGATCGGGCAAGTTTCTGAAGTCTTGAAAACACAAGGAGCACAACTAATACTCCCAGTGGCTGTTCTACATGGTGCTGCATTTGCTATTGGTTATTTTGTTTCAAAAATATCATTTGGTGAATCTACTTCTCGTACCATATCCATAGAGTGTGGGATGCAGGTAAACAACTTCTTATTTAGTATTTCCATACTGATTTTACATGGAGTTTGTCAAGGTTGAACAAGTTCATCTGATCTCTGACGTCTTGCAAATCATGAATTCCATTTGTATATACTGAACTTTTACTGGATGTGTTAATCTTGACAAACCTGAAATTGTTAGATAAACTAAAGTAACCTCTAATTTACGTTCTTGATAATTTCATTTGCAGAGCTCGGCACTTGGGTTTTTACTTGCTCAAAAGCATTTTACAAACCCTCTTGTAGCTGTCCCTTCTGCTGTTAGTGTTGTTTGCATGGCGGTATGACTCTCTTAAAATCTCCTTTTTCTTTCTTAGTTATCCTTTTGAGTAAACCCAAGTACAATCTAATTTACTGTCATAATTGTCTTCCTAACAGCTTGGTGGGAGTGCTCTTGCTGTGTTTTGGAGAAACACACCAATTCCTGTTGATGACAAGGATGATTTCAAAGAATAATTGGAGAAATCATGGCCTTCTTTTTTGTCTTTCTTTTTGGGTAAAATTCTTTTTTGTCTTGGTACCCTTTCTTTCTATAATAATTGCTTGTTAGAGAGAGATGGTTAACTTTTTATATATTAGAAAGTCATACTTGCATCTAGACGAAAAAAGGAAGAAGTCATATTTGCATTAGACATCAGTTTTATGTGAACGGAAAAGCTTTGGATTGAGGTACAAAAAGGGACGCAGGAATCTCCTTGTTCTAGAAAAAGGCCTTACAGAAGGCACATTGGAGAAAATGCCTCTATTCAACCTTCTGTTTTATGGCAAATTTTGTACCACTAGGTTTTTTTTTGTTTTTTGTTTTGTTTTGTTTTTCGGGGGTCGAAACACAACTGGGTTCATATATAAGTTTTGGGATTAGGCATGATCTTGTTTCAGGAAGTTAGAATTGAAAATTATTATATTCTTTTGGCATTAGCACCAGCTAATGATGCTCATGATTCAATCACCTTAATTAACAAAATGAACGAATAAAGTGTCTTCAATCATAACTTTAAATAAGAGATTTGGTGCGTTAAAAAAGATAAAGACTTAGAATTTTCCCAACCACCTTTCTCTGAATTTCTGTGACTTTGCAGCAAACTGCAAAAGCCTGTCGAACTTTTTTTATTCTGCCACCAATAAAGACAATTTGGCAGTAAATAATATCAAGCAATCCGTGATGTGATATGCAGACATTACACAGCCAGAAAATGGAAAAAAGAGGGTCGCGCCAAACTTATTCTGATATATTTTGACCTCTTTATGCGTCCTAGGACCGTAGAAAAAAATCGTTACCAAACAAACAAAGCTGCATTGGAAAAAAATACATCATTTGCTTATTAGTCTGCCAATAACCAATCAATATAAAATGAAAGCAAAAAAAAGTCCAAGTGTTATGTTAATATTTGTTCTGCACAATTCTCCTTTTATAACAATATGAACTAGAAGTTCTTCTATGAAGAATAACTTGTTCATATAATAATTTTAGGTAATTTTAAGTGATTTTATAGAGAAGTAGATGAGAGGTGAATCTCCTCAAAAGTGATTGTAGCTTATTCAGAATCACTGTCAAACAAGCCCTAACGATGAATATGCTTGGACATTTGAGAAACATACAGAGAATGGTAAAGTAACTAGATAAAATTTAAATAGTTGTGATAATTTATTTTAATAAGAAATGCTCACTTAATTCGTTTATTTTTAAAGCTAAGATAAGGAGAATAAACATACATTGGTTCTGTGGCCAATAGCTAACTATAGTGATAATTTATTTTAATAAAAATGAGTGATGATTGGTTTTGTTCAGTTAGACACATCTTTCATGAACAAAACTGTGCAGCTGATGCTTTGGATGCTATTAGTTTTGATTTTAATCCAGGTCTGCGTATCTTTGATGAGATGTCAGCTTGCATTGTTGACATCTTGACTGCTGATTCAAGGGGTGACTCCAGACCTCGTCTTCTCTGCTTCTAGTTAGCTAGCTTGTGTTCTTGGGCAAAAAAGTAATACATAAAGATAAAACAACTTAAATTATGGAAAAGGAAACCATTTAAATTACAGATTAGAGATGTAGATAGGAATGATTTAATTTTAAAAATGCATGTCTTACTTGTCAACCAAGTTATTAAAAGCTTGGCAAAGAAAAAAAAAATCAAAAAAAATTTGAAAGAAAAAATAAATATAAGTGAATGCCGACCATCTTATGCACCGGTTGCGTGACATTTTAGAATTGAAGAGTGAGAAGAAGAAGGAGCACTACGCCTGCCAAAAACAAAAGAAGAAAAAAAACTCTTAAAATAATCAAAAGGAAAGTAAAAGGAAAAAAAGAGAAAAAGAAAAAGGAAAAAAAAACACCACAAAAATGAAAAATATTATTTTAGTATTGAATGAGGAGGTTATCGTCTTCAACTTTCAAGTAGAGTGAAGGAGAAAACAAAACAAAAACTTCCATCTGCTTCCGAAGCGCAGAAGACAGGACCCTGAGCATTTTAACACAATTTCTCCGGCATTCGACTTCGTTATCTGCTAAGTGTCGAAGGCTTCGGGTTTACTTACAAATTGCTTTTGCTGTTAATCTCAGAATCATGTCTCAGAGTCAGACCAATTGGGAAGCTGATAAAATGTAAGTATTGTTTACTTCGTCTTGTTTCTTTTAACGTTACTTTGGTCCTGATATTTTCTGCCTTTTCTTCGTTTTGCTGTTGTCATGGTAGTAGCCACTTGTACTTTGGGGATTTGTAGTGAGCTTTTGGTTCTAGGGTTCTTTCTTCAGTGTTCAGTTTTGGTGGGTACTGTTGTTTTTGTTATCTTTGTTATCTTTGTTCAAACGGGTATTTCTTTAGTGTTCAATTTTCTGCCTTTTAATTATTTCTTTTAAAGAATAACATTCAAGCTTATTGACGCTGGGTAAGTTGTTGCCTTTGCTGTTGGCTTGTGCAAAATTTGTGTCTTTTTTTGGGGCTCGATTTGGTCTCTCTGGTTTGGGTTTTTGTGACCTTATTCTGTAATGGATACTTTGCTTTTTACATGTTTTTGAAGGGCTCTGTTGCTGTTGAGATATCTTCCATATTTTCGTATATGAATATATTCATGCTTCTTGTTGTTGCCTGGCTTTGGGTTTTCTTTCCTTTCTTCCCCCTTTTATTTTTCCAAGCTTTGCTTGTGACGTTTGTTTGGTTGGATTGAGGATTGAGATGGGGTGTTGTTGATTTGGATGAATCTTTGTATCTGCAGTTGTCTCATATTTTTCCCTGCTCCAGAAAAAAAAACAGGAAAAGAGGAAAGAAATTTAGGGCCTGTTTGATAACCATTTCAGTTTTAGTTTTTAGTTTTCATTTTTTGTGCTAGAGTATAGAGGAAAATGAGAGTGAGGATGAGATGAAGAGAGAGGATGAGAGGGGAGGAGTAACAAAAGTGAAAACAATTTCAAATAGATTTCGGTTTTTTGTTTTTGTTTTCACTTTTGTTACTCCTCCCTCACAGCCTCCTCTCTCATCTTCCCTCTCATTCCCATCTCCACTCTCATCCTCACTTCCATTCTCACTCTTTTTCCTCTATACTCTAGCACAAAAATGAAAAATGAAAACTAAAAACTAAAATTGAAATGGTTTTCAAACAGGCCCTTAACTTTTCAGTCTTCTAATTTGTATTGTTTTGCGTTTCGGTAAATTTGAGTTTTTTCCTCAACTAACAACACACGAGCTGAGTTACTTGTTTTCTCCTCCCAGATTATGGGTGACATTGTAGATCCAAAAAGCTGTTGTTGTTGTACATGTCTTTTGATGTTGAGGACTTTCTTAAAAGAATTTCCATTTTGAATCTCATGTTTGATTCAGTTTGTTCTAGAAAATAGATAATTCGCTTCAACTAAGCCTGACATAAAAAACTTAATTAGTGAGAAGAATTTGTTTCAAAGATTGTATTGTTTAATATTTTCATTCGTTTTCTTGTCATTGGATTGGTGGATTAGCATCGTATCAGATTTTATGTTTTTGCATTGTGGACCTTCTTCCAATGTTAATTTTCAGAAGTTAAAGTTTTTTGGATTCCTGACATGTGGAAGTTTTATAATTTGTTTGGATCACAGGTTGGATGTGTATATATATGATTACCTTATGAAGAGAAAATTACATGCTTCTGCAAAGGCATTTCAAGATGAAGGAAAAGTGTCTACAGATCCTGTAGGTAAGTATATATGCCAAAGAAAAGAGATTCACTGCATACTGTGAATTGATTATCTGAATTTGTTTACATTTCTTTGATCTTACTCTTGCTCCAGCTATTGATGCACCTGGTGGCTTTCTTTTCGAATGGTGGTCTGTCTTTTGGGACATATTTATTGCTAGGACGAATGAGAAGCACTCAGAAGCAGCTGCATCTTACATTGAGGTGCGGACTTATATTGGACTTCAACCCTGGCTCTGACGTTTTTCTTTCAATTCATAAATATAGATGGAATTGTTTGGACTTCTCTCTATTTGAAATGTTTCACTGTTTGTCTGGATGTGTTAGACTCAAGTGATGAAGGCTAGGGAGCTGCAGCAGCAACATCAGCAGCAGAAGCCTCAGCCGCAACAGCAAATGCAAATGCAAATGCAGCAGCAGTTTTTACAGAGGCATGTTCACCACCAGCAGCAGCAGCAGCAACAACAACAACAACAACAACAACAACAACAACAACAACAACAGCAGCAGCAGCAGCAGCAGCAGCAGCAGCAACAGCAGCAGCAACAGCAGCAGCAGCAGCAGCAGCAGCAGCAGCAACAGCAGCAACAGCAGCGTCGAGATGGGACCCAGCTTCTAAATGGCACTGCCAATGGGCTTGTTGGCAATGATCCTCTTTTGAGGCAGAACCCTGCAACTGCTAATTCAATGGCAACAAAAATGTATGAGGAGAGATTAAAGCTTCCAATACAGAGGGATGGTTTGGATGATGCAGCTATCAAGGTAATAAGTTTTGCCATAGATTCAAAGAAGTTCTTTATATTTTAGATTCCTTGCATCTATTCATCAACTCACAATACGTACACCATGCAGCAAAGATTAGGTGATAATATGAGTCAGCTTCTGGATTCCAATCATGCCTCATTGTTGAAAGCCGCCACTACAGGTGGCCAGCCTCCTCGGTATTTCTCTTGAAGATTCCATATTTATCATTACTCAGCATTGTGGTGTAACACATGCCCTTTGTGTGCAATTGATGCTTAATATGAAAGTGGTTGAACTCCTTTCTGACAGTCAAATGCTGCATGGACCTGGAGGCATGTTGGGGAATCTTCAACAAGCTCACAACCGGAGTCAGCAACTTCCTGGTTCGACACAGGTGATTATCATCAGCGATCTGTTTCATACTTCGTTTTTTATCCATACACTTTGATTTTTCTTATTTTGGGTATCCTTTGCGTGATGAAACAGGACATAAAGACTGAGATGATGAACCCCAGAGCTGCTGCTCCAGAAGGATCATTGATTGGTGCTCATGGTATTGATTAATATTGTTTTTGTTTTTGTTTTGTTTTTTTTTATCTGTACGGGGAATTTCTGGGTGGGTTTTGGGTGTGAAACTTGAACAGATAAATAAGAAAACTGTAAAAGTTCGAAAGCTCTTTGAATTTATTTCTGGTATCTATTTATCTCCTATGAATGATTCATATGTTCATTTCAGGATCAAATCAAGGCAGTAACAATTTGACTCTGAAAGGATGGCCTTTAACGGTAGAACTGAATACCCAGTGTTGATATTACTTTTGCATCCCCCCTCCACTTGATATGATTCTAATTCATGTTTTCTGTTTGGTCTTTGGGCTATTCTGTGGCCAATAGCTAACTATAGTGTTAAGTCAAACAGAAAATGGAGTACTTGATGGGTGAAATTTCTAGAGGAAATGCTATATTCTTAAGGCATTGAATTAAGAATACCATACACCTAAAGGTTAAGGATGATTAACAATTAATCTTCTTCTTTTAGATGTACATATTAATATTTCTCTCTCTCTCTCTCTCTCTCTCTCTCATTTTTTGTTTTTACTAAAAATATGTAACACCACTTGAGAAACATGTTTTCTGTTTCATGCAAGATTTAAGGACCTATTATTAGAGAAGTCTGGTTGTATATTGACATCTTCTTGTTGAAGGAAAATTGAAATAACACCTTAAAAAGATGAGGGTAATATCTTGAAATGGAAACTTGTTCAAGTTGGTTGTATAAAGTGTGCTAAGCAATATTTGATGCCACATTCCATTGGCATTACTGATAAGAAGACAACATGATTTTAAATGCAGGCAAAGAAACGAAGAGCATTTTTTGCAATTACCCATGCTGCCAAAGATGAAACTGGCTTGTTAGCATCTGCATTTTTGGGTTTATAGTTTCTTTTCTGATAACATCTCACCTTTTTAGGGATTTGATCGGTTTCGATCTGGGATTCTTCAGCAGCAAACTTCTTTGATGCAGTCCCCTCAACCCTTCAATCAACTTCAGCTACAGCAGCAACTTATGCTTGCACAACAAAATATGGCTTCCCCATCTGCCAATGACTTGGACAGTAGAAGGCTGAGAATGCTTCTCAACAATCAAAATACAGGTCTCGGGAAGGATGGTCAACTAAATTCTGTTGACGTATCTAACGTTGGATCACCAGTACAAGTTGGTTGCCCGGTATTACCTCGTGCGGATGCCGATATGATTATGAAGGTATCATTTCTTCTTCTACATCTGGATTTAAGAAAACTCATCGTTTTAGCTAGTATCATTAGGATCTTTGTGAACTTTAAGCTTCCCATAAATATTTGCTTATATGAGTAGCCAACTTATCAGTTACAGCAACAGCAGATGCAAAGCAACAATCAACAGCAGCAACAGTATTCGCAGCATCCGCTTTCAAGTCAACAATCTCAGAGTTCAAGCCAACACCTACAGCAGCAAGAAAAAATTATTGGTTCTGGTGGCATTGTGGCAGATGGTAGCATGGCTAACACCTTACAAGGGAATGATCAGGTTTTCTATTACTGGCTATCGGATTCAAACTTTATGAAGCTATATGTCCTTTTTATTATCTCTTTCTTCTTTTTTCCAACTTGATCTTTCTGCAAAGTGTTTTACAAATATATCCACATGTCCTGGAGATTTTTGCATATCCTAATTTTTACAAATCCTAAACTATTGATACATGACATATGCTTTTTTCACATTCGTTACCTTTCCACCCTATATAACTTGTATTATAATATTAAAACTTGAATTTAATCATATTTTCAGAGTCAAATTGTCTGTAGTCTTTATTTTCGCTGTGAACTTGATCAGTGTTGAAAATTGTTATATCCGGGTTGCTTTTCTCATTTCGTTTTCCTGGTTTAAGGCTTCAAAGAATCAAATTGGGCGAAAAAGAAAGCAGCCAGTGTCATCTTCAGGTCCTGCCAATAGCTCAGGGACTGTTAATACCACAGGACCATCTCCCAGTTCACCTTCAACGCCTTCTACCCACACACCAGGAGATGTAATGTCTGTGCCAACTTTATCCCATAATGGTGGTTCCTCAAAGTCTCTACTTATGTTTGGCTCTGATGGTTTGGGCTCACTTGCATCAGCGCAAAATAAATTGGTTAGAAACTTATCATTGTTATATCTAACTTATTTGTATTGATTGCATTTAAGGTGACTTGATTTGGAGTCACAATCTGTAACATTTCACTGATGAGTGCATCAAACTTGATTCGTATTTGCTTTAATGGGTTCAATTGATTTCCTATCTAACTTTTCCATCCATAAAAAATGTGCCATTGCTGAGAAGGAAAAGAACAGAGTTTACCTCAAGGGGTTAGAAAGGTGCAATGTTTCTGTATTTTCTTACTATGCCCCTGCTCCTCTTAGTAACTTAAATGGTACGGACTACAGTGTGCTTGAGTTACCAAATGTGGATAATTCATTGGATGGGAGAAATGTTAACCAAATTTCCACTTTTCTCCATGTTGCTATGTCCTAGTGGGTAGATTATGCTTTTAGGCTTGCCTCATATGTGATTTTCATATTAAGGTTAGTGTGCTCTTTGTGATAAACCACAAAGTGTTTACTTGTGAGGGATTGTTCCTAGAACTCCATTGGCAGTCAGTAACTAAGCTATGTATTGCAGACTGATGTGGACCGTTTTGTGGACGATGGATCTTTAGAGGATAATGTTGAATCGTTCTTATCACATGATGATGCTGACCCTAGAGGAAGAGTTGCTCGCTGTTCAGATGTCAGCAAAGGTACGATGAATGCAAACATCTGACATTGATAAACTTTGTTAATTATGTCACGAGATGCATATGGCTTGGTCTTATATTATACTAGAAATATAGCAAAGGGCTTTAACATTTTCTTGATGAAATTAGGCTTCACTTTTAAGGAAGTCCAGCGTATTCCTGCAAGTACAAGTAAAGTTGAATGCTGTCACTTCTCTTCAGATGGAAAATCACTTGCCACTGGTGGGCATGACCGAAAGGTAGGCCTAGGAAGATTGAATTTTTCATATAGGCTCTATGCATGACCAAATTTATATTACTATCTAGTTTTAAAAAAAGGAAAAGTGCTGCGAATATGAATGATGGAAGTTTTGATACTGTTCCAGTTAATCTTATGGCTTATAGAAACACAAAGTAGTCATGATTACTTGATTATTTTATGGTGCAGGCTGTATTGTGGTGTACTGAGTCCTATACTGTAAAGTCTACACTTGAAGAGCATTCTCAATGGATAACCGATGTTCGTTTTAGTCCTAGCATGTCAAGGCTTGCTACATCTTCTGCTGACAAAACTGTCAGGGTTTGGGATGCTGATAATGTTAGTCAATGTGTTTTTTGCTAAGAAGCACGGACACGGCAGTTAAGGGACGTATCCCGTGTCGGATACGTGAAGGGATACGATACGCACAAGATACGTACGGATACGCAATGGATACGTATCCGAGTCAAGGGATACGGTCAACAAAAAACAGATACGCGTATCTGACATTACAGATACGCGTATCTGATTTTAAGGATACGTTTTGAGAGAGAATTAAAATTCAGGACAAATTGGAAGTCTTCAAGTATACGAATTGGATTTTCCTACCTGTTTTGGGAATCAAATCTTCCTCTTCTTTTTCGGATCTGGTTTTTTCTTCTTCTTGAATCTTCTGGCAGTGGCTGGTGTGGTGGTGGCGTGGTGCTCTTGGTTCTGATCTTCTCTTTATCTCTTTGTTTACAACTTTTCATTATGTTTTGTTTTGCTTTTTTGTTTTGGTCCAGATCTTATCTCTGACTTTTGTTTACTGACAGTTTCAACTTTCAATAAACTTTCAACTTATTAAAAGCAAGTCTTTATTAAAAAACAATTCATTATTAAAAGCAATTCATTATTAAAGTTTTCAAAGTTGAACTTAAAACTCACGTGCTTTTGTTTAGAAAAAAGAAAAAAGTTTTGTTTAGTTAAGACAATTTAATAATATTATAATTTATTTTTATTGAATATGTTGAATTAAAATATATTTTAAAAAATATATATTATTATTATTATATTTTAATATAAATTTTTAATTGCCGTATCCATAACGTATCGTATCTTAATTTTTGGAGATTTGTCGTATCCCCGTGTCGTGTCGTATCGTATCGCCGTATCCGTATCCGTGTCCGTGCTTCTTAGGTTTTTTGTTTTTCCCTCAATGCTACATCATGTTATTTTTGACTGACTTTTCATTTTTAATCTTCAAATTTATACATTACTACTGAACTGTCATCACTAAATTACTGAACCCTCGATTCTTATTTCATCTATGTAATGAATGCATAAAAAAATGTTGTGCAGCCTGGATATTCACTTCGTACTTTTGTGGGGCATTCTACAACTGTAATGTCAGTGGACTTCCACCCTAGTAAAGAGGACCTTCTCTGCTCTTGTGATAACAACAGTGAGATACGATACTGGAGTATCAATAATGGTAGTTGTGCTTTGGTTTTCAAGGTATAAAACATGGTGTTAATTTGTCTATACTATATAGGGAATACTAGAATTCTGTTTCTCCGTTTAGTAAATCCTTTGGCATTTGATAATATTACCTATATTTTTCAGGGTGGTGCAACTCAGATGAGGTTTCAACCCAATGCTGGAAGAAACCTTGCAGCTGCAGCTGATAATTTTGTATCCATCCTTGATGTCGAGACGCAAGCTTGCATGCGTAAATTACAGGTTTCTTCTGAACTTCCTGTTACTTCTTAACATTTGTAGTATTAATTTTTTTAACTTTATTTTGGAATGGGCACTAGTTGTGTCCACATTTGGGCTTGAATGAAGTGTTTATCAGTAAGAGCCCACTAATACATGTTTACTTTGATGCGATTCATGTGCTGTTGTTCATCATGAATGCTTTCTGATTTAGATCTTGTGTTGTTCATTGTAGGGCCATAAGAGCCTTGTCCATTCTGTGTGCTGGGATCCTTCTGGTGACTTTCTAGCATCAGTGAGTGATGACTTGGTTAGAGTGTGGTCAGTTGGCTCCAGCGTCAGAGGGGAATGCATTCATGAGTTGAGCTGTTCTGGCAACAAATTTAATACATGTGTTTTCCATCCAACTTGTCCTTCATTGTTGGTCATTGGCTGTTATGAGGTAAGCTATACTGCTCTACTTCTCTTTACATTAAAGATGAACTTGTTACCCGGTGACTTGCTCTTGTTGAAGATGCTTAGTGAGGTTTTGTTTTTGATATGAAATGGTGGGATTTCAGACTTTGGAGCTTTGGAACATGGCCGAGAACAAGACAATGACTCTGCATGCTCATGACAAGCTAGTATCTTCTTTGGCGGTATCAGATGCTACCGGGTTGGTTGCTTCTGCTAGCCACGACAAGTGCGTCAAGCTCTGGAAGTGACAAAGTTGTATCGTTTTATCTTGAAAATGGTTTACCTTCTCCATTACCACATCCCAATGGAGAGCAATTTAATGCTTTTGTTTGTTCTTTATCGGGTTATCTTTTTAGCGTATGGTAAAAGGGTTTTAGATTTTAACCCAGCCCCAGTTAACCCATAGAAGAATTTTGTTGGACCATGACCAAGGCCAACCAGCCTAACTTTGATGTCAAACTTGATCAAAAGGATCTCTTTCAACTCACAGGGGCTTATAATGTAAATGATATTTTGCTAGACGAAACGTAAATGAAGGCAGTCTTAAAGATAGCCGAATGTTTTATTTTACCTAATCAACCATTTCATTTTACAAATTACATGTACAATCAGCCAAACCAAAGATGAGTTGAAATCAAAGATGAATGCTAGCTAGTTGGCTTGTATTTCTCCACCATCATTCCGGATGAGTTCAAGCGCCCTGTTGAAGTGCGTTGCCTTGTAACCAAGGTACTCCTTCCAAGTTACCGGCTGATAGAGAGGTGGATGATCGTGATCGATCAATTTCATCAACGGCGATATCTTCACATCCCATGGCGGGCCGTAGAAGTACGCGATGGAGATGCGATGGTGCACTTTGTTGACAATGGCACGATGGACTACACTCTTGAAACATCCGTTGGATAGTATGTGCATTAAATCCCCGACGTTGACAACAAGCGCATCGGCAGTTGGGTACACTGGCGCCCACGAAACCCCGTCCACAAGGACTTGCAGGCCGCCTGTAGTGGTCTGGTACAGCAAAGTGAGCAATGAGGAGTCTGTGTGAGGGGCTAGGCCCATGGCCCGGGTCGGGTCTGGGCAGACTGGGTATGAGTTGAGTTGAAGCAAGGATCGAGGATTTCTGAGCCATTTGACATCTTCATTGTTCAAGCCCAATGATCGAAGCATGAGCTCTATCAGTTTTGCAGCAAGTCCCTTCATCTCCTTTTGGTACTCTTCCATTACATTACTGCATCACCAGTCAGATCAGGATATGGATTTGGTTTAATAAGTAGGACACAGATATATTGACAAATACGTTGTTTTCAATATGAACCATTAATTAAGTACATTGAGATTCCGACAAATATATACGGACAAATATAGGATTAAGATTCAGACAACAGTCATATTTACCACCATTTTCTATTTGTAGCTTTGGTTAATGGTTTCTCTTCGGCAGTTGTGGTCTTGCATTGATGGCGTCGCTCGTCGGTTTTGAGTGGTGTAGCATTTCCCTATTCTTTATCGTAGGGTTTTCCAAATCAATGTTGTGTTTTATGGATTTTATGTCTTTCGTGAGTTTAATGACTATAGAGGTTCTATGCCTTATTATGTCGAATTTAATTAAACTCATTTTTTAAATTCACGTTGATGTTGACTTCGGTCTTCAAATCATAAAAAACAACCACAATATTTACTTGTCATGCGTATCCAAAGCAAACATAACTTTCTAAGGAAGTAAAAAAGAAAAATAAAAAGAAGAAAATGTTTAAGCACAAACCCAAACATATAAATATAAGAATACTTTTATTTTTATTGGGTCAAAATCTAGATTCTAGTGTATGGGTTGGGTTGGGTTGGGTTGGTGATTCACTAGCGAAAAAGGACTACGTGAAGTGAAGGACAAAGCATATCATCTGGATCATGTTCCAGTACAAACTCGCGTATTGGAAGCTAAGTTTCTAGACCACCCATATCCCGCCACGTGACGTCCCGAACCCTGGCTTTTCATTCATCGATCATAACGGACATGATATAATTACTAATATATCCTCGAAGACATTTACAAAAAGAAAATTACTAATTGTGTATTCCATTATATTGGTGAATTCCACTTTTATTAGCAAAATACGATATACAATGTGGTGCACGATGTGGTAAGCTTAGCATTACTTAAAAAAAAAACTAAACTAACAAGCAGAGATGCATTATTTTATTTATTTACTTGTCTGTGGCACGTACCAGAAGTTGGCGTGGTGACGTGGCCAAAGCTGGCGAGCATGTTCCAGCGGAGACCCCATCATCGAGAAACCCTCCGACCACATCAGCTTGGGGAAGTTGTCAGAAATGCGGGCCGACCCGTACCCGCTGAAGCCATCGGGCGAGCGGAGGACCCGGAGTTTTTGGTCTCTGGGGAGGGCGAAGAGTCGATGGGTTTGGAGCTGAGTTTGTTTGATGAGGTTCATGGGAACACCATGGTTGGTGACTTGGAACACACCCCATTTCTCACAGGCACGCCGGACCAGAGGGGTGGCATTCGGGTCGGATAGGTCGATGACCGGTACGGAGTCGGGGAACGGGTGGTGATCGGAGGAGGATGGAGCCCAAGTGTGGGAGTTGGGTAAGGCGACGAGGGATTTGAAGTCGAGAGGGATGAGGTGGTGGGAAGAGAGGTGGATGTTCATGGTAATTATTTTGTGGGTTTCTTGTTGAGAATGAGAACCCTTTTGAACTGCGTTGAGATAATGGGTGTGGCATGTAAGTTACATGTAGATGCATGTAGGGCAAGTGTTGCAACTGCAGCTACAATCTACTTTTCTATTGCATTTCTTGACCCTATGTATGTATGATATCTGTGATTATGTGAAAGTCGGTTTCAGAATTGAATGGGGCGGGCGTTTGGGAAACTTTGAAACACAGCACTTCATTTTATCAGTTCAGTCCCCATTCTTCTTTTTTTCCTTTCTGGGTTTCTCTTTTTTTTCTTTTTTTCTTCTCCTTATCTCTCTCTTAGAGAAAATGTACCAAAAGAGTAAGTTGTACTTATGAGGCATGCCTTGTGCATATAGAGAAATCAAAGGCCCAGGAGCCATGCCTTGCGTTGTGCTGTTAAAAACTGTATTGAATTGGATTGGATTGGAGAGAAGAAGACGAAAGGCTCGCAGGGTTTGGGGCAAAGTGCTGTTAGCTTCCAAACAGGTGTCAATATTTTTTCAGGAAACTACACGTAAATAAAAACGTAATCTGGTTGGGTAAAAACGACATGGTCTATTTTGTACAGATTCACGAATTGGCCCCAAGTCTGTTGTCTAATTCTAATTCGAAAGTAAGCACTGGCAAATTGCCAATTTGGTCCTTTTGTAGTGGATGACCCATTTTGTTTGAAATTTACAGCACTATAGGACCTTTCTGTCTTTTAACTCCATAGAGATACTAGAGAAATCAGTATCTTAGAACCACAACAAAAAGAACAGAGTGGCTGCACCGCCCTATAGTTTATTCACCAAGTACTTTACAACATGTTTGAGTTTTGTAAAGTTAAACCAAATAAAAAAGAAAAAAGAAAATACTGAAAGCATGTAATTTGTTTACACATAAGAATAAAAATAAAAATAAAAAGCCCAGCTAGCAACTAGCTGTTATCTGCACTCGATCTAAAACAAACAAATAATTTGATCCTATATTATATATCTATATAATCATGTAGCTATACACTTTAACATTGTTTCTTCATGAATTGAGAAGCTGATATACTTGTCACACCATGCAATGATCCCATAACTGAAGCAATAGGGTATAGAAATCTGCCTTGTCATCTCCTCTGGAAGTTGAAGGATTTTATTGCGAAGGCAAAGATAATGGAAAAAAACACGCAGAAACCGACCACCATAATGCCGGCTATACCCAGAAAATCACGCCTGTACCCAAACCCTTCTCTGAGAAACTGCCTTACTTGCATTGTATGAGTTCCATCTGCCAGCTTCAAAGGACTATCATCGTCGCCGTATTGCGAAACAAAGAGGCCATACAGACTCCAGGCCACAGGATTTGCCCAGTAATACCATCTCCACCATATTGGAATTCTCTGAACAAGTGCAACAATTTACCGTGTTAGAGAATATTCTTAACAAGTTATTATAAGAATATATGTTATCTGATAAAGTACACATGAGATTGAGCAATGAAAGCAGCCACTTCCATTACCTTGTGAGGAATCATAAAGCCGCTGAACAGGTTCCATAGCATATAAAATGGAGCAGCAATTATAGAGGCCACATTATGATTTGGTGTGACAGCTGTCGTCATCATGCCGTATAAGGTGAAATATAGCATTGTGAAATACATAAAGAATATATACCAAGCGAACTTCAAAGTAGTCCACTCAAATGAAGCCGTAGAGTAGAAAATTGCACAGTAGAAAATTGCTTGTGCAAACACATAAGGGAGCTCTATCACGACCTGCATGCATGATCAATGCGTTAGATAAATTTATGGGATACCAGGGTAATATTGTGCGTTTCAGAGAGTGGGCGTAGCGTAGTCAAGGCGAACCTGAGCAAATGCAAATGGTAAAGCTGAGTACATCCCTGCAGCTCTCTCTCGATATGAGACGAATCGTTCTATAGAAACAACAGGTTGAACAGCAGTGGCATTGGTGATTCCACTAAATAGGATTGCTGCATACATGGATCCCATGGCATTTAGTAAATCCTGCTGTGTTCCCCTGCAAAGGGAAAAGAAATCCTGTCATATAGAAACCCAATGGCACATATTGACATCTAGAAATAAGGGCTGAAAGAATATAATACATCAAGATGATTAGTTCCATTACAGAGTTATCATAAATCACAAGATTAAGAAAAAGGAGGAAACCTCTTAGCACCAAATCTCCAACAAATTGTTCCTAGCATCAATGAGATGATGACGGTATAAAAGAAGCGAACTGCAGTGTACTGAGGATTTCGCCAATAAGACAGATTTTGCTTCCAAAGACAAGTGAGAAATTGTTCGAAAAATGTCTGAGAGTACTTGGTTGGAAAATTTAGTTCTTTAGAATTGGTACTTGGCTTGCTCAGGCTTTCAACCAACTCCTTGTTGTGCCTGAGACAAAGGAAGATGGTTGTTAGATCAAGAAGCATATAGTTCTGTATAAAAGCAGCACAGTCAGAATTCATTAAGTTTTCATACTGAAACAAGTTAGATCTTCGGTAAACTTCTGCAAAATCCACCCCCAGGCGACTTTCTTCAACTGAAGAAGTAACATCAAGCATCCATGCAGCAGGATTATATCCAGGCCTGATCTTTGGCACTCCTTCGACTGCCTGCAGAAAGAAATATTCACATGTTAAGCTGACAGTCATGAACATTACCCAAAGTCACATGTTCTGAAATATATACTGGCATGGCATGCATGATCTGACCTCAAAGTACTTGATGAGTTCACAAGAATTAAGACCAAGTGTACCAGCATATATGAGCTCTCCTCCACGCTTCAAAAATAGAAGCTGCAACACATATGAGATTATAGCAGGATCAATCAAGATAATAAAGCAATATAGAAATTCTCAGCCAAATATGACAGCTGTTTTACACTCCGGTCATAGTAGGATCAATCAAGATGCATGTCTTTACATCTCCATCTCACCCATTCTTATCGTATCTAAAAATTGGAAGAAAAAAACACGTCTTCATGTACATACCTTATTAGAAAATTGGTCATATATACATAGGAAGATAGTTTAGGTGGATATACATATATAATATATAGGGTACATTATATCATTATGTATTATATAAATATTATATTATACTATATATATATATATATATATATATAGAGAGAGAGAGAGAGAGAGAGAGAGAGAGAGAGAGAGAGAGAGAGAGAGAGAGAGTACCTCATCAAAGGATTCAAAGATGTCTATGCTAGGCTGGTGGATTGTGCACACTATAGTACGTCCAGTATTGACAATATTCCTCACAGTCCTCATCACAATAGCTGCAGACCGTGCATCCAACCCTGATGTGGGCTCATCCATGAATACTATAGATGGGTTGGCAACCAGCTCGACAGCTATTGTTAGCCTTTTTCGTTGTTCTGTTGACAAACCATCTACCCCCGGTAGACCAACCAATGCCCCTCTTAATGGAGTGAGCTCCACAAGTTCCATCACCTCCTCTACAAAAGCCTGAATGATTTTTAAATCTTTTAGATGATAGATTTTTTTTTAATGATGAAGACGTACAAAAACATTAAATAATTTTGCGTGAATACCCTCTGTGTCCCCAAATCAACATCTGATGGTAACCGAAGCCAAACAGAGAAGAGAAGTGATTCCAGAACAGTCAAGCAGGGGGAATGAATATCAGTCTGCTCACAGTAACCAGAAATTCTTGCAAAAGTTTCTTGTCTTTTTGGATAACCAGATATATGAATGCTCCCTTCTATTGCGCCACCAGTTTTTCGACCAGCTAATACATCCATGAGGGTAGTTTTCCCCGCACCACTTACTCCAACCAATGCTGTAAGCACCCCAGGCCTAAATGCTCCAGTGACATTAACCAACAACTGCAATCTTTCTTCTTGAATGCCCTGCTGCTTCAATTCCTGAGGTGGTACTTGGATCAGAAAAAATATATAGTTAACATGTTTCCGAGAATGGATGGTGCAAGTGAATAGTGTTAAAGACTCACCAGAGGGATATCCACGTAGTAGTTGATATTGCTGAAAGACATGGAAAGTGGTTGAAATGGGAGGACCATTCCTCTCTGCTTAAAATATTTTCCTGCGTAGAAGATAAGAAAGAATTTTGGAACTTAAACTGGTCTGTAGTTAATTAAAAAGAATTGTACTAAAACAAACTCAATATCCAAATTATTTTTCAAACCATTTAATGACTCTGAATGCTGCAAGTACTGTCTCAGCTCAATAACAACATTTTGTCCTTTTCTTCTCCTTTCTCTCTCTTGAAGCTCTTCCTTAGAGACTACAGCTTGTTGCTTCCCCAACGCTGATGCATATATCAAAAATCAACTCAACAAGCTTTCTTTCTTTAAATTTGTTTGGCTACATGCAGCAATAGAAGGAAAATGAAAATTAGTTTGTTTTTATGAGCAGAAATAACTTACGGTTAAGGTAAGCGAGGAAGAATGTGAATAGAATGTTGAACAAAACTGTATATCCAAGCAAAGCACCAGCACCAATCCAATACCAGTAGCTCTCGGGAAACAAGCTGCGTGCTCTCAGCAATGCCTCACCTAATGGAAAGCTGGTGTCACTTCCAATTCTCTACATAAATAACAGGAAAAAACAGAATTAGATTTTCAGAGTAGAATCCTAGACAATAACTTAATAAATAGGTATGGTGAAGTAAATCTTCCTATTGGCTCTTGCCTATACAGTGTGCAATTAAAAATTAATGTGATTCAGCAAAATAATGTTTAACACTATTTTCCCATCAAACATAATGTCCTCTTGGAGGATGCCAATGGTTTACTTGAAAATTCACAAAAAAGGAAATAAAATCCAAGTCTATTATCAAAGATAACATATCCACTATTATTATCAAAGGCATTAGACTTCTTAAACGTAATTTATGGTTATTTCTAGTTAGTAAAAACTACCATACCCCTACCTTGACTAGCATAATAAATCCATAATTGCTATAATCCGTAAAGCAAACTTGAA